GCACCGGGAGTGGGCGCACCTCCGCCAGGTGCACCTCCGGGTGCCGTGGGCACCATGGCATTCGGCGGCTGCATGCTACCTAAGGTCCCCTGCCCTGGACATCCCACCGCAAGAGGCGGAAGTAAGCCGAAACTCACAGGCAAGGCATGGCGACGAGACCAACTTGCTTCTCAGAAAGGCAAAGCTTGTACCAATCGTCCGTGAAATTACCAGCTCTGCACCGCCTATGATATACATGGAAGGATGGAAGGCTTGAGCTGTAGCGTGCAGTACCTGGGCCACCTTCGGGGGCACGCCTGCAGACGATACCTCGGCGATAGTGGCCCATCCTCCAGCCTGCAATGTTTAAGTCTAAGTCTAAGTCCCATGAAGATACTTCTGTCGCTGACATTTCCGAAACGCTGGCGCAGCGCATCACCACATCCACGGTTGGGTGTGGCTATAAGCATGACCACAGGTGTCGTATCGCTGTGTGGGATGCAGTGAACCCGTCAAACACCTGAAGACTGTGAGAACATTGTAGGTGGCGGCAGTCACATTTTTAGTGGCTACCGCTCATGCGGGCGAGGTGGATGCAAAGCTGACGATTCAAACTCGCTACTCATCGAGGCATCGCTAACACGACGCACGCCCAAACTTGGTGGTGGCGGCTCACTCTTCTGACCTGGTCTCAGAAGCCCTACAATGCTTCAGTTCTAAACATGTGGTTGCATGTAATGCTCCGGATCTGAATAGGATGACCTCCTATGCGATGGCTGACGTGTGCTCCGCTGTCATACATCTCCGTGCCGAGTAGCACAACAACCGTTATGAGGGCAAGATGTGATGACTCTGATTATGATGCTGTGGTCATATACCTGCCTGACTGATGGATTTTGCCAAGTCAATAACAACAACCACAACCACAAGCACAAGCGAAGCCGCCACCACCACCACCACCACCAGCACCAGCAGCAGCACCAGAACCAGCATGACCACCGCAACCATAACATCACAACCATTGCAACCACAACATCCGAGAACCACAACCGTAATCGCAACCGCAACGAAACCAACAACGACGGCGACAGCAGCAACGGGGAGGAGGAGGACGACGATGATCACAACTCCAGACCACAACAACCACAACAACTGCAGCAGCAACGACGACAACAACAACCACGAGAACACACCCATCATCATCATCATCACCATCATCATCATCATCTACATTGTCATCATCTTCATCATCATCACATCCAGAGCTTCAGCACCAGCACCTGCATCATCGTCTGCACATCAGCATCACCATAACCATGTTCGTCATCATCATCATCATCATCATCATCCTGAAACTGAAACAATGCAAGTCTTAGCCATCATCTTAGCGTCCACAAGCCGGGTGGCTTCTTGCGTTCCTGGCTCTTTTCTCGGCCGCGGCTACGGCTCCGTTTGCCCCGGCTCCTTTCGTGCTCCAGGGCTTCCATCGACAGTACACTCCGTAGAAATTCCGCAGCCCCGGCCGCACAGAAAGCAGCCCAGCCATGTAATGGTCTTATATGCCTAGCGTTCGCAGTTTGGTTGTCTGCCGAGTTGCAGATTTTGGCCATTGATCGAAACGCTCTTGGAACCCGCACCGCACAGCCATGCAGGGCGCCAAGCCAACTCTCAAACTCTGTTTTAGGTATGCGGTGCTGGCGACGTGCCCGAGTATTGAACCGAAGGGGAATTAAGAGTGGAATCTCGGGTTGGGTTGAACCCGAAAGACAATTAGAGAAAGTTTAAGCCGGCTCAAAAGATATCAAGAATCTCGCAGGAATTTGGACTGCCCTCTCAGGAACTGCCCCAGGGCTTGGCCTGCACTAGCTCCGTTGAAAAGTCACAGAAAAGACAAGAAGTCTAGAAGACTCGCAAGAGCATTAGACAATCCGAGTGCCTGCCCCACCCCAAAGACGACGTCTATGCGACAGGACGAGTTAGAGGCAAATGCTTCTTCTACAAAAACGTCAGCGTCGGGCGCTCGTGCTGACCACATACGACCAATGATCACAAGACTGCCCCAAAGTTCCGCGCCACTCTTATAAGAATCACAGTGGCTAAGTACTTCCCCGTACCACGACGTTCCGCCGCTATTGACTTTGCTGCTGCGACACCGTGCGACAGCGCCCAAATGACCCAAAACCTCGTCAGTGTATCGGCACCGCCTTGCAAAAGTGGACGCTGCCTAGACTTACTCGCTTTAACTAGAAACCAGAAGTCTCCACTCCGAAACCGACATAGTGCCGCTGACAACCCACTGCGGCCATCCCTGGCCTCAGTGGCCCTTGGGATTTGTAACCAGACACATTGTTTATCCATGAATCATCCTACTGCAAGTAACCGTACAACCGTCCTGAAGCCCTCTCAAAACCCTAGGCACTCACCACTCTCTTGGAACTCATGCCCTGAAGCCCGAATCTCGGTCCGACTGCGCCGACGTCGACTGCGACTCCGATGCCGGTCGCGGCTGCGACTCCGGTGCCGATCCCGACGGTCCTGGTCCTGCAACGGGGCCCAGAAGCAGAATCTGCCGAAGGGCCGTTGAGGTCGAGAGCTTGGGAGCCTGGGGCTCTAGGACTCAGGAAGTGAGCCTGTAGATTGGCACGGTTTGGATCACGTTGCACCATAAACCACGCAGAGCTTGCACAGGTCTTGAAGATGCCGAGCCTCCGTTCGTGACTCCAGCATCAGGTGGGCAACGTGTGTCTAACGACCGCTCCGATTGTAGTTCTGAAGGCTCCGGCTTTGCCTGGTGCCGTCGAAGGCATAATACTATATAACTTGCTTTCTTTGTCACTGATATACTGCACTCCGAGTGTCTAGAATCTAGAATGTATTCTCAAGAACAGACTTGAAGGAAGAAGACCATTCACCACCAAGCAAGGTGGAATCACTGCCACTCTCCCCTTTTGCTGACACCTCAAGAATGGGATCGGGAGCAAAAAATGTTTAAGTTTGGATGCTGCAAGGAGATTTTGCTGAACCATTCGCATGATTTTGCTTCCCCTCGAACATAGTGTTGCTGCCCTGTTATATGCGTCGACACCATGCTTGGCCGAACGAGGTTGCATGGCAACTGAAGCTTATGAGGGCTGAGTTTTGCTGTATCGTTGCGTCTTTACATTTCAATCATGCACGTTGCATGACGGTTAACCGTGCTCTTACATCGCAAGGCAGCACGTGATGTGCCGGTCCGAATGCTCAGCTGTTGCCAGTGGTGGGGGAAGTGCTGGGCCTTTCTGTCCATGGAAGCATTACCACGAATTCGGAGCAGGTCTCCAAGCTGCGGTGTTGAGGATTTGCCAGATTCCACGTGAGGTTTCAAGCCGCCATGTCGGATATGTGTATTTGCGCCAGGTGAGGTCTTCAGGCTCACAGTCCCGATCTAGTACCCCTCACCCACGGTTCAACAGCTCTACCTTCCTCCAACACACCCCTGAACCCATCGTCCCAAAACTCTGATGCTCGGCCAAACCGACAAACACGCCGTCAGGTGGGGCTCGCGGCACGGTCGAGGTCAGGGCATTTCGGATTTTGGATGTTAGAATTCCGCCTGCTTCGGGCTAGGACGTGAGAGTCAACGGATTACGACGGGCCAACACCTAAGCTAACATTGTCCGAAGGTATCGCGGTTTTACAGAGGGGACTGCTTGAACATGCTCTTGCTTCACTTGAAGACATCACGAAGGTTATGCAACAGTCTTACAGGCGAGTGTCGAGTGTCGTCGTGAAACCGACTCCGCCCAGCCCTTCCGAGTGTTCTGTTACCCAAATCCTGGCCATTCAGAAGCACAGGTCTTGTTTCTACTTCGCAAAAGGTCGGAACTCTGTCCTTGTCCTTTCCTTTGCCGCCGCCTTTGCCTCGGTTCGTCGTTGGCAGACCTACTCCGAGAGTTCAACACATGAGCGTTAGTCCTTCGTCTACAGCTCCCAAAGCACCTTCCGGTTCTTTCTCTCACAGCAGGCCTTGCACCACGAACCGACAACAGTCCAAATCAACTGCTAATTACTGCCTGCAAAGGAAGGCTAAGCGATAATGCAGAATCGCGACCTTCTCCCTTTTCACCGCCCTTTTGCGGTCTGTCAGGTGGATCAGCCAGGGGCTCGTTGTCAATCAACGGCCGCGCGATCTTGCCTCGTGTCGATGGTCGAATGTACAGCCAATGCTCTACATGGGTATGTAACGGTAAGTAGGTTGTTGGGACTTTTAGCTTCATGCAGCTTCAAGGTTGAATCATTTAGATCATTGGGGACGTATCTGTTCTATCCAAGCAGGCACATATGTATCTCGAATGTGCTGCTGCAGCCGCAGCCATACATTCGCACACGCACCTCGAGCAATTAGACTATGAGTCTACGAGGGGTATGTATTATGTCCATGGAAAAGCCTGCTTACACAAATATCCTCGCAAGTTCGTCTACTCTTCAGCAGGTTGGCCGACACCGCACCCTGACCACGACAAATAGATGAGCGACAAAATGATGCGGTGTGCGTTCACACACTTCGGGCGGAAATGCCTGGAACGGCCGGTACACCGGGGAAGCCTGCTGGTCGTATCTCCGAGTCTCGACTGCCCATGGGGGAAGCATTGTGATCCTGGTTTCCTGAAAATGCTCGAACTCAGATGACGAAGCGTTCAAGCATTGCGGCAAGGGTAGTTATGCAACCGTGACGCCCGCCAGTTCATTGCTGACAATGCTGGAAGGTGTCTTGCACCCACCCTCTGGCGGTTGATGTCATCTGAGGCATTTCTTTAACCCACAGCCTCATTAGGCCCACTCGTGCCACTAGTCAAATCCGCCCTCTCATTAGGCAATAGCGGTTGATACCATCTGTTAAACCCGGCCACTCATCAGGCGATGGCGGTTGATCCCATTTCTTAGATTCGCTCCTTCATGAAGCGCTGGCCGTTCATCCCATTTCTTGAACCCGCCGCCTGACTAGCCGATGGTGGTTCATCAGGTTTGAAAACAAGCGGATTTCTCACTTGCTTGCTTGCTTGCTGGCCTGCTGGGTGCCTCTTTGCTGGCATGCTGGCTTGCTTGCTGACTTGCTTGCTTCGAAGCCAGGAACGGATACAACATGCAATACCGCCCCGGCTATAAAAAAAAGAAAACACACGAACAATACCGCCCAAAATAATCCCACAAGCACTTATTGGGACCAAGAACTGAAAACGACAAGCATACAGTCACCAACAGTTGCACTTACAAAGCCATGGCAGTGTACTATGGCATCTGAAGGAAACTTTTCTTTGAAGCAGGCCCAGTTGCAGAGCATTGATGACGGGTTCGCGCAGTTGTCCAGGTGCTTCTTGATCTTCACCAAGATTTCGTCTTTGTCTTCCGCCCTCTTCTCGATGATTTCACGCAGCTTCGACTTTGCATCATCGTCTAAACGATACTTGTCCATAACCTTCTCGGCATCCGACAGGTCGGGCAGCTCTTCAACTTCGCCTTCCAACAGCTTTCCAACCTCCGAGTCTCAAGGCCTCTCTCTCTCTCTCCCTCTCTCCAACGGTTCCTTCGGTTGTTCAAGGGGTGCCAAGCAGCGAGCAGGGTGGCCATGGCATTGGCACGCTTGCAGTACTTCAGATGCTGCTCGACCGTGTTTAGATCTTTGTGCATGCGGTCAATCTCGTTCTCCTTCTTTCGCCGGTGAATAAGCTCCTCGGCACCCCACGCGACAGAGGTCAAAACGATCACTCAAACCACAAGCCAACAAGAAGCCGGCAGGCTGGCTATGCATTGGGGCTCCACGATGATAGCAATCAGGGCGATCTAGCACCATAAATGCATACATAACCATGCAGTTGCAGGGGGCTGACAACCAGCCCCACAACCACAACGATGTTGACAACAGCACTAACACAAGACAGCAACTCGAATACAGACCAGAGGCAAAATAGGCTAGTGATGAACACCATCACGTGAGCTTGACAGCACCACGTGAGCTTGACAGCGAGACTCCATGCGGTTTCTAAATCAAGGGTAACGAGACATGAATGCTCACAACTATAGCAACCTCGGTGCTGTAAGCCTGGAGGCAACGGGGTCATCCAGCTTGAACTTTCGAGCCAGTCGTTCCACTTCTTTGGCCGGCTTCACTTTGCCGATGAATCGACCGCTTTCCATCTCACCGATCTTGACCGTCAGCAAACCGGTCGGGCTTCTTGCTCTTTCCAGAGTCTCATACAACTTTTCGATGTCTTCTGCTTTTGTGTCTTGTCTCTTCTTCATGGTTTCGTTCAGTCGCTTGATCCATCTGTCCTCGATGTTGAAATAGTCCTTACAGGCTGCAGGCAGATTTCGCATGTCAGCCCTGGGAAAGCCGTGGACTCGCTCAGATGTGCTAAGGCTTGGCAGTCTTCGGTCCGGCGGAGAAAAAGAACCTAATTACATGACAAGTCGAGCGTCGCAAAGCTCCTGTATCTCGGGGTCTATGGTGTCATCGTCATCGGCAAGAGTAGCCCCAGATTTTGACTCCGCAGGACCGCTGGTCGCATTCTTCATCATGGTCTGTGTGAGCTGTCCGTGACGCATGTTCTGCTGCATGTTCTGCTGCATGTGCTGCTGCATTTGCTGCTGCATCTGCTGCTGCATCATCATGAACATCATGGGGTTCATCATGGGGTTCATGCCGCCTGGCATCATTCCCGGCATTCCAGGCTGCATGCCCGGCATCGATCCCATGCCCTGCGGAGCAGTGCCGTTGGCTCCGGGAGCACCTGGAGCACCCGGGCTCGGGGAGGTGGAGGACGCCGGGCCGCCCAGCATCCCTGGCATTCCCATTCCCGGCATTGTCATCCCCATCATTGGCATCCCTCCAACCCCTGCAGGCCCTGCAGGCGGGCCCGGCGCACCTCCGCTGGGCGCACCCCCGGGCGCCGCAGGCACCATGGCATTCATCGCCTGTAAGCTATCTCTGGGTCCTTGCCCTAGACATCCTACCGCCAAAGGCAGGATCAAGCCGAAACTTGCAGACAAGGCAGCTTCATTCGTGCAATGAGCCGCAACCACACCACGGTCCATCAAGCTTAACCATCTCCTACTGGACCTGGAGCCCCGTCACCGTCGCTTTCAGCACCATTTTGAAGTCAAGCGCGCTCGCAGGTGACGTTTCCGCTAGCTGTCTTATAGACGATGCGGAAGCTTGCCCCAGGCTTGCCCTCGACCTTAGAGGAACGAAAGAGTGGAGGCTCTTAAGCCGAAGAAGTGGCCTCAAAGGGGATACCAAGGCCAGTTATAATTTCGTGTCCACTCCACGCCACCCCTCCTCAACTGAGCCCTCCTTGGCTCTAGGGTGCGCACGAAATTGACTGAACATTCAAATGACGCCAGGAACAAGAGTTCCGCAGCTGCCTCATCGAAAGCAACCCTGCCGATGCTAAAGCTCTCAAGAAAGAACCAAAACTTTACCAATAAAAAATATTATTTCATATCGTAGAGCGGAGCGGAACGCCAACCCCGGAATGCAAAAGCCCTGAGAATGACGAGGTTCTGAGCAGTCCGAAATTCTGAAGCCTGACGCCCGGAGGCACGGAAACCTGTGGATGCTTCTAAACCACGCAGCCATGCCGGACAGTTTGACTGAGCAGTCTGGATAGGTTCAACCATACTGGTTTGGGGCTGTGACACTTGAACGAAAAACTTGAATAAGTCATTCTTTAGAAGGGTGGCGCCCCAGGGCCTTAGGCGTTTGTGGGCGAGAACACTAGCCACAACGAAACTGGTAGAAGAAAAAAAGCTAAACAACGTACCAACAGCAGCAGCTCAAGCGGTGCGGGCCATGATCATTTTCATGATGATGGTGATGGTGATAATGACGATGATGGTGGCGGTGATGGCTGCAGGAGATGCTGATACCTACAACTACGGTGTGATATCAAACTGATCCATTTCCTATGGTCCAGGTCCAGCTTCAAACCGCAGAAAGAATGTCGGCGTAAACATCAATAACTAGGACTAGGACCTTATAATTAACATCCCCATGATGACGAGCACTGCTTCAATTGACACTATCCCTTTTCTATTTCTTTGCTACGTTCAGAAGAAAAGAAATAGCAGATGCCAGCAACTGTTTCATCTAGGTGCTAGGTGCAAAGCCCCTTTCCCTTGTAATTTCCGAGTCACCGCCCAGTTCCGGCCGTGACCTGGTAAGAAGATGAGGAGAGGCATGGTCATACTTCGAAGAGTATATGCATCAGGAGTCTAGGGCAGTTGGGGTTGTGAGGGTAATACGACAAAGGGGTGGAGTTTGGGATGGGGTGGTTTCCGTGGTTACTGCCATCTCGGGAAAGCCGGTCGAGTGGGGGGTTTCACACGCCGGGCCTGGGGCCTACACTCTAGAGGCTTGGACTTTCGCAGCCCGGCCTTTGCTGCAGTCCATGTGTAGATTCTGGAGCCGTTCGAAAGCATGGCCAGCGTGCACAACTATATTCTACACAGTATAGTATCGTGTCAACATCAGAAGTTGCGCATGAGCACCATGCACACACCCATGATGGAGCAAGCACGTATGGTGCGCAGACCTGTCCGTCCAGTGTCGTGACAGGCAGACAGACAGCCAGGCAGGGACGGCCAGCCAGTCAGAGAAAACCAAGTAAACAAAAAACACGCAACATGCGGAATCTCAAGCGAAGCGCAGGAAATCTCTGCGAAACCGCAGGACGAAATCCTCAATCACAGCCGCTATTACTCTCAACTTCTGTTGCAGGCTAAACCGCTTTTAGCAGGATAACTATCCCATACTGCTACTTATTGCCACAAGGGACAAGGGTTTCCAACCTGATGTTATAGATACTGCTTCCTTGGATCCGCAGAACAGGACCCCACTTTGCTGAAGCTCTAAAGTCAGAACTCTATAACCTAAGCCCTGAAACTGCCCTTAAGAATCTAAACCCTTGTGCAACCTAGTTTGATGAAGTTCTCAGTTTCTTCAGCTCCCTCTGAGAGTCCGCCCAGCGACCGGGATTCTCAGCCGAGCTCCGCTCCGCCTGCGAGAACCTCCCCGGCCTGGGTTTGGGGCTTTGTAAGGGTCTCGGGAAGTTTGGGGTTGCTTCTGGCTCGTTGCTCATGCTGCCATAGGCTTTTGGGGTTGTTTCGGCGCTCACACTCGGACAATCCATGCTTAGGGTTGTTTGGGGAGTAGAGTTTTCGGGCTAGGGCTTGTTTCGTGGGCATTGGAAGGGTTTTGGCTTGGCTTTGGATCTTCATCAGCTTTCACGGCATTGAAAGCTCCAAAAGCTGCAAGCATTTATGTAGCTGCTCTTTGAGTTTGCGGGTTCCCGTTGATGAAAACCTTCCACCTGAAGACCTCGAAAAGAGCAACCCTTACTGTAGCATTGCCTTAGCTTCCTCGTCATTGACCCACTGCACGAACCTGTCACCAAGTAAGGAATCCTGCCATACCGCGTGCACGGACAACTTGGGTACAGCAGCGTATGCCGCCGGCCGCATGGGCCACCCGAAAATATGGGCTTTGAGGAGACTGTGAAAACATGTTCACACTCCTTATCTCTCGCTCTCTCTCTCCGCTATTCTTCTCTGTTCTGTTCAACCGCCTCCGACGTCTTACAAACTCTTCTGTTATTCTGCTTCCTGCCATTTCCTGCTTCTGGGGAATACCGCATGCCGGAGACTTGAAATCAAGCACCATGTCATCTCCGATCATAGGACATCCGAGAACGGAGCTCGCCAATATACATGTCGATCGAAAAATTCGCAAGGACGAAGACAACGCCACGAATTAGGCCCTTCATGCCAACCCTTTTCATGGCAGGCCAGCGCGCTGTGTTTCAGTTCGGGAACCGTGCATGCAAACCACGAACTCATGCTTGAAGGATTGAACAGCAAAAACTTTTACACCGCACTTGGATCACAAGGAAACTACTCGAACAACGAAAGTCAGAACAGGGTTCTTCCTCCAGTGGCCTCCAATAGTGGCCCGCACGATGACACCCTGACAGAATTAGTCCAAGTTTTCAAGCCAACCACAAGTAAATTCCGACTCGGCACATGTAACTGTAGGCACCCCGACAACGATCCACTTAAGTCACGCTTGAGTCACTATCTACGTCAAGGCATGGGCTTCTACAGAAAGCTAGGGATGTGTACACACGTGTGCACGCCCACAGCATCCTGCAGCATCTAGTCAATATACGCATGCAACGCAAACATCCGCACTGCTGTAAGCCGTGTGGACGTGCAGACATGCACGCTTGTCCAAGATGATAGGTCAAGTCACATGCAGTCATGAATGTGTCACCTAGGCATTTGTCAAACGGCTAACCTGCTGCAGCCATGCGTGCGTTTGCACCTGCCGCTGAACATGAGCATACACAAAAGTCGGTGTTGCTCTGTGTGCATCGACAAAACCGATTGCCAAGTTCGCACGAGTGGCTTAAGCACCACCACGGTTTCAGAATTGCCGCCCGCGGGGAAGAGGCGCTTGTCCCAGCCTTTCTGAAAAGCCACCAAACTGTTCACATGGGGTTAAGGACTCGGGAAGTAATCGATTCGACTTGGACCCCTCGACCTCCCAGGACCTAAACAAACCCTGACAGCTTGACCACACCGACTGCTGCATGATAATGTTCGCCAGAACACTGCCGTCTTCCAGAATTTGGAACCTGGGCTGTAGCTGGCGGCCTCTTCGTGCTTCATTGAATTCTTACGAAAGCCATAGCACGAAGATGTGGGATGGGTTGAGGATTTCGGTGGAAAATATTACGTGCATGTGATCTAAAATGCATATTTCGATCAGGTTTGAATAGCGCGGGCCTCATACCCTAGCCTCCAGCTCTGAACCTCAGACTCCCTATTACTAATACTAGTTAGTGACTAGCGGTGTGTAATTTTTTCGCTGCTATCGGCCGCCCATGCTTCTGACTCTTGTTTGCTGCTCCTCATCCTCGTAGTACCAATTTTGTCCGAGCCCTGGAATCGAAACTATTACCCTCACTATATTGAATCTCTCCTTCTCTTCCCTCCCTCCCTCCCTCTCTCTCTCTCTCTCTCTCTCTGCCGGCCTGTACATCCCAAGGTTTCACAATGAGCCCGGGGGCAAGTGAAAATATCAGGCAGGCACGTCACGAGAAGCGACTATCTTCTTCAGCCAACAATAAATTCACTCCCCAAGCGTATGACAACCTGAAACAACAAGCCGATGCAACTGAGGCGGGCATAGAGGCCGGAACCCCGAAGTCCGAAGCCAAACGCGGACACGAGGCTCTTCCTTCTGCATACCTTTGCTGCTACCCATGGGCGCACTCGATCGGATTGTCACTGCAGCTCCTGGAGTAAGCATCCAAATGCCGGCCGTTATTGTCATGTTACTACTATCACCATCAAGTATTACCACTGCTGCTGCTACTACTACTACTACTACGACGACGACGAAGACTACTACTACTACTACTACTACTACTACTGCTGCTGCTACTGCTGCTGCTGCTGCTACTGCTGCTACTACTGCTGCTGCTGCTACCACTACCACCACCACTGCTAGTAATACCACTACTACTACTACTACTACTACTACTACTATTACTGGGTATTGCTCTGCATGCATACATACATATATATATGTACACATACAGTTTATGTACACGTATATCTAGATGTGTGTATATATATATATAGTACAGACAAACACTCACGCATATATACATCTATGTATTTATACATGTATGTGTATATGCATATCAATATCATAGCAGTACAAGCATACAGTGTACATTCAATATACGTGTATAAACAGAGATTTGCGTCCGTAACCTCTTTTGTTTGGGGTGGCTTCACGAGTTTGACGACAAAAACAGAACTGCACCAAAACCTGACAAGAACCCACCTGTACCTGACAAAAACCCAACAAATCCCGACATTTTCGCAGTTTTCGGGTCTGCCCCTTGAGTATGCAACGAGTACCCTCTTCGAGAGGCACGACACGGAAATCAAAGATATAAACTTATGTATATAGACGGATACGTGGATAGATAGATAGATAGATAGATAGATAGATAGTTTAGGAATAGTCGTATTGTTAGAGTCCGGGGGCCTGGGGGAGTGCACATCTTTTAAGTTTTCTGCATCTGGATTGGTTGCTGGCGGCTGCTTTATATTGAGAATATTTTCAGTCATATATAACATGATCTTGTACAGTCCATCGTAGAATCACTCATGCTCGCCTTCCTATTCTGGCTAAGGTAATTACTTGCGTGTATATTCGTGTAAGCTTATAACTTATTGATCACGCTTCTTGAGATTATTAAATGTACTTGGTAGGGCCGCACATGGCAGAGGATACGCCTGTTGTTGAAGATTCAAGCTGCGTAGCAAGGCAGTGAATATTCTCATGATACTATATATCGAATATAACGGATGCTGCTAGTACTCTCGGCAATGGTATTAGTTTCGCACTGCTTTTACTATTAATAGCCAAGTCTACACTGCAAACTCGTCCTGCTTGTCTTTTAGTAACACCAATACTGTACAGCAAACAGCATGATTAGCACAGCCAGCGCAGCCACATAATACTAAAGCGCTGGCCATATTCTTGGCGATTCTTCGTGGTTTCCTTAGTACTCGAACATTACATATTGCCCTTGTTCGAAAGTCTTATTCAACCCACTGCATATGAGCAATATTCATGAGATTATTAGGACATAAATTCTCTCAGAATAATTTACCACGTATCATGTTTTTCGTGTCATGTGTCTTCCAGACCGCCATGGTTGTACTAAATGTTTATTAATTTCGGTTACCACTGTTCATACAAGCAGTCTTCCTTGAATAACATTAAAGCACAAAATACTGTATTTTTTAACAGTCTGCTCTGGAAATCAGGTGCTACGCAGGCCTTCGGCGAAGCCCTACCAACAGCCCTAAACCTTTTGCCCAATCGACAGCAGCCTGAGGCTCCCGGCTTCCCCCCTGCATCAGCTCCGCATCAGCCTCCGCTACACTAAACAACTCGCGCTCGCTCTCTCTCTCTCTCTCTGGCTCGCTTGCTTGCTTGCTTGCAAGAGGTGGGGGTCAAGAGACCCCTGGCCCGAGGGCCGACCCCGCGCGGTTCGCGTCGGTGTGTCTTCGAAGCCCCTGCTCCTGGATTCTAGAAGTGTTCCCCCAAGTGGACGTGGTGACACCCTCCCGAAAAACACCCTCCTACACCCTGACCAGTGAAACCCCGTGCATCTCTCACTTGGGCCATCCAATCTTCAAGATACTGCAACAGACGCGGGCTGGGCCTCCACTTCGATACATAAACCAACCAGTCAACAACAAGATGGAGACCCCCATAGTAGTCCGTAGGTTCTGGCCCCTACCCCTGTCTCCCGAATGAGCTCCACTCTTTCGGTTTGGCAAATACTGTGTGCTACACCCCCTGACCTGCCTCCCCACCTTATCCCGAACAGAAGCCTCGCATGACACTGCTCACTTTCTTTTATCTCTCTCGCTCTCTCTCTCCCCCCTCCCTCTCTCTCTCTCTCTCTCTCTCTCTTTCTTTCTTTCTGCCGGGCGTAGGGGTCCGTTATCGGGACCCTCAGGCCATGGGCCCGCCCGACCACCCCTTTTACTATTGAGTGGTCGGCTTTGGGGTCAACACTGACCGAGGCATTAGAAAACTAAGTTTGCCACGAGCGGTTGTCTCTCTCTCTCTCTCTCTCTCTCGCATCCAGTACAGGCACGCTCAGCCAACCAGCAGCAGCTGGGGTGCGGTTTAGACAAGCAAGGTTTGTCACGTGCGCAGGATTCCAAGCCTGCGGGTTTCTCCAAGTAGCGTTGTAGCTTAAGCAGCATGCAACCCAACGAACTCGGGAGTACTACAATGCTACCTTGAAGAGAACTGACTCCAGATATATTCAAACTCCCTGTGTCCATTGTGACATGGCCAGATACCCAAACTCGAAAGCTCTTGGGCAGCTGCTTCGATCTGCTGCCTTTAGGGATCATTGTAGAAGAGAGCGGTACGCTTCGGGCTGCCACATACGGGACCAACTTCTGAACCAGCGAATCCCGAAGCTCGCACTGCCCACAAAATGAAGTCTGAGCTGATGCTTTTGGCCGTACCCTATTGATAGCCTGAATAAGACGACAAGCCTAATGCTGACTATAGTGTTCACAAGGACAGAAATAGTAGCGACCATCATGCTAACGCGCATGGCAGCATTGCAGCAATGACCATAATACCAGCGCCACCTTGCACCATCATAAACACCCCTACAGCCTGGAAGCCTTATGCCGAAAGCTGCCACGTTCTGTCCAAGCCAGATGCCCCGCAACAAATCAAGTGTACTAAGTTCCGAGGGCTTCAGGTTTCGCCGAGGGTTCATGCCTGGCGGTGGCTAGGCGTAGACGGCATGCAGTGGAGGTGTGAAGGCGCGAGGCTTCAAGACAGTACAATAATTCCATCTGGAGTCTTTTCAGGTCTATAAGTCTAGAATGTCTAGATTCAGGCCAGGCTGCGCTCCAGTCGTTGAAGGAACCAACGATGTACAAAGGAGGGGTGGCAGAGATGTTCGCCTCCTGACACTGATCCAAGGTTCTGCTGCTTACCTCTGCTGTCCGCCGCTCTAGCATCGACGGGCATGTGGCACTGCCGATACCAACTGACTGGCATGAATAACAAGAGTACTGTGGTTCAACTCCCGGTGAAAGACCTGTGGCCTTGACATGCAAACGTTCCTCACCAATGACACTTGGGTCCTAGGCGTGTAGTAGGGGAAGGCCACAATGCCAAGTACTCACACATGTCCAAGATCTCTGTTGCAATAGCCGTTGCTCCATACCCCTTTAACACCCCTAGATTCCCTAGATGGCAAACTGGAAAACCTAAACCGCTGAATCTGTTTGAAAGCAGGGGCCGCAGCGCGCGCACCCTGACCCTTCAGTTGCCACCATCTCTGCAACTCGCAAACGCACCCCATGCAGGGTAAAGTTGACATGCCCTGTTTGAGCCCTACACACACAGAGACCGTAAGCCATGCCAATAACACCATGCCCGCCTGGAAATCCCAAATCCCCTGAACCCTGGGCTCTGAATCCTTAGCCTTAGCCGCTCATCGCCAGAGCCTGGGCATCCTCCGATCTCGCACCTGGTGTCTGATCCCTCGGAGCACCTTCAGACCTCCGGGCGCTCTAAAGATGCAGGCGAAGCTCAAACGTTGCGATGTCTTTCTCTACGTGTGTAGATGCATGTGTATATATATATACATGTATAAAGAAATATGTATGTTTATATACATACATATATATATATATCCCATATATATATATACACCCCCAGATGTATGCACATACATATACAGGTACTTGCATACAGTTGTGGAGTCTTCGGCACTTACTGGGTTAACTATCTGTATGTATACTGTATACTTTTCTAGATATGCGTACACACAGAAATACATAGAAAAAGCAATAAACAGACAGATACAAAGACGCACAGACATAGATGCGAGCAGATAAAAAGCTATACAAAGATGTGAACAAAAGAAATAAACAAACAACATATAAATAACGATATAGCTATAAACAAACAAAAACAATAAGTATGCATATACATATATGTATATCTGTGTGTATGTATGTATGTATGTATGTATGTATGTATGTATGTATGTATGCATGTATGCATGTATGTATACGTTATACATGCATGCATGCACCTGCACATTTATAGATTCATTTATATATATATATATAGTACATGCTTGAGTGTTATCTACTCGACAACTGTCGGTCTATCACCCGTCTATCGACCAGTCTATGTGTCGATATGTCTATGTCTATCGATCGGTAAATCTGTTTATCTATCTGTATCTTTATACTCGTGTTCATCTTGGAACTTCTTCATGCCTGTGTCCTCTGGGGTACGTCTGTGCTTGCGGCACGAAGCTCTTGACTCGGAATGCGACTAACACAACCAACAGATGCGCAGGTTCGATTAGTCTTGCTGGGCGACAGGACCCAATTCCAAGGGTGCTACATCATGACCCACTCACAACGAAGGACAAACACAATAATGGCTAAGAAATATGGTAGACATCATCGGCAACCAACGACTTCGCATCGACGTTCACTATGACACTGACTTCGACTACTACCTCATCGCTTGGCTGGTCCTCGACACCTCAAAATACCTGATCTCTTCACCCAAACAAAACTTCACGTCTGTGTGTAAGTATGGATGTGTGGATGCGCATGAATGGAGGCAAGCATGCAAGCATGCCCTCATCTGTGTATGTATGTACGTGTATGTATGCATGTACGTATGTGCGTATGTATGTATGTGTCTACGTCTACGTGCGTAATACGAAAAGTATAGTGAGATGTAACCTCGCAGTGTAACGTAGCGCACACTCATGTACGTTTGTATGCATGTGTGAATAGATGCAGGTTTGTAGTTGTATGTATCTAATCTCAATATCTGACCTAGCATACAGCGATATTGGCTGTGGCCGTGACTACTATCAAGACTGCAGTCCTTCTACTTCAGGAGTAAGAATGCCTACAAGTATGTTCACAGACCTGTTGGCAGCGAGTGGCTCCTTCAGGGTTCAGCGACGGAACACGTGTGCTTCATCCCAGGATTGATCGAATTTTCCTCCGCGATGATCCGGCAACTGAGACGTGCCTCCTGGGCTGGGAGCCGCACCAGCTTTAGACTTCGTGCGCGGATGATCGGCGGACGCATTTGCCTCCTTCGGGAGCGAAACTCCTCGCCCGGGCAGCTGACGTGGAGTCCAGATGATGTCGGCGAAGCACAACTGCGCGTGCAGTGATCGGGGGCAGAAGCAGCGTGCGAGCCAAATTCTCCACAAGACCGGCTGTAATTATTGGGCCTGCTTCTGGATGAGCTCGCGCACATTCAGATTATCCAGTGGGCAAGTGGCCTTGACACGAAGCCACTTGTCAATGCAGGCCATGTGGAAGTAGTGCAAACAAGGAAGCCGCCGCACGTCGTCGCCAGAAGTCATATCTTCGTAACACACCGCACACGGCTCCTCGCAACGAGACTCCAGCTTTTGACAAGGAACCAATGTGAGCAAATCGTTCATTTCTTCATCGACCCTGGCCACCTGTCTCTGCACGAAGGTATCCGTTGCCGGCTCAATCTCGGCCTCGGCCATGCTCTCGGCTTGGTTCAGCTGGGCATCAATCGCGGCCCAGCGCGCCTCCAGGCCTGCTGTGAGCGCGGAGCGCGCAGCACGGGCCGCGAGGCCAGGCCTCGATGCAGGCTCGGAGCGCGCAACCGGCAGCGGCACCCGCACCAAGGACCAAGGCTCCACTGGCTCTCGGGCCTCCCTCGCCGTGCCGGCCTCGGCTTCAGCCTCATGACCTTGCTGGAGCTGCAAGCGCCATGGCCGTGTCCTGGTGGCCAAAGCGCCGCTGTTCTGTGCAGAGCCTGGCCAGCGGGCCTGGCTCTGCCGCGCATTCGAAGCACCCAGCTCCTCCATCACCCTGGCACGAACGGCATCGGGGAGGCTCGCTGCGAAAGCAAGCGTCTCTGTCAAGGTCACTGCAAAATTCGATCGTCGGATGCAGCGGGGCGCATGCAGCCAAACTGATGCATCAGCATCATTTTCTCTTGCTGTTTCTGGCAAAAACCCAAGACGCAACTGTCCTGGGAGGAAAAACTCCCTACAAGCACTGCAACATCTTGCGATGTCGCCATATTCAAAGATGTGGACGTAGAAGCTGGGCAAGTCACTTCTGACTAAGCCGGCTGCAGGCGGATCCAGCTCCACCACAGCGCTTTGGCCGATGCTCGCCGGGGCGCGGAGCCTGCTTCTGGAACGTTCAGGTAGTCTGCGGTGCGCGCTTTGCAGCTGGACGTCTGCAGATGCCAGGATCACCTTCACATGAAACGCTGGTTGCTGGATGTGCGTGAAACGCACACAGCGATCTGTGCCTTAATCATCGCTTGTCACTTTCTTTCAACCTGCGTCCCTGCCTCCTCATCACTGGAGACCACAGCCTGGAACGGTTCCTCCACAGAGACTGCCTCCGAGATCACGGTTGCTGGGACCTGGTCATCCCAACTGCGAACCCTACCCGTGCGGAACAAACTTTGTGAGAAGGCCGAAGACCCTCGCGACAAAGATACGGAGAGACATGCATGTATGAGACAGGCAATCCTAACACCAAGCTCTTGGAAGAAATGCACGAAGCGAAAAACAAAAGGCATGTGTGGTCTTCCCGCCTGGTCCAGTCGGGCCGCTGCGGCATGTCGAGCTACACGGCGCTGGGCACGGCCGGCCATGTGAACATTGACCCTTCAGGGAGTGGGGGGTTTTCTTCCCGTCACGCTGGGGTTGCTTCGGGTTTTGGGCCAGACAGTTCTACATGTTTTGCAGCTTAGAGGGCTTGTGGGGGAGACGGACTTCGAAGCCTGTAGGGCCTACAGTGGGCTGTAGTGTTGAGGAGGCTGAGCAATCCACAGCTGGAAGACTTCCTACCTGTCCATCTTCATCTTTCAGGGCAACCAGGACCCTAAAGTAGTCTGCACATGGGTGTGGTGTTCCGGTCGGAACGACGCCGGTCTGGTCTTCGTCGAGAGTCGAACTTAACACTCCATGGGCACTCGATCGTTTTCTTGTAAGTACATGCAGAAATACACGTGCACATGCAAGCACCTATGCGGAAAAGTGTCAGTGTTCGTTGCTGCTTCTTGTTGGGGAGGTGGTCTTGGAAAAAAAGCGAGACCAAAGGAGCCAAGCAACACTTCCAGTTCGTGACCGGTGCGTCCAGGCTCCCGACTGTGTGGAGCAGGCTGCGGTCCATACTCCACAGACTCCACATCGACATCATCCATGAGCAGGCTAAGGTCCTCACCTCGGCCTCGGGCTTCCCCCGAGCCTCTCCATGGCAGCTAGGATGAAACCACGAAGCATCGCCTGCTTCCCGGATTTCAATGGGAAGTACTGGCTAGCGCTTTTTGCAGGAGCAGAACCGACTTCTACAGTCATCAACCTGACGTGACGTGTACCTCTATTAGATGCATGTCGACTCACAATGGCATGGCAACACACTACACCCGCAGCTGCCTCGTTTCCGTGCACTGGACTGCTCTACGAAGTCAGGGGTCACGGCAGGTTCAGGCTTTAGGATTCCTTCGTTTGAAGCGCCGAGTGCCCAGCAGAGCAACATCAATAAATCGGGCGTCTCTGGCTACCTGTCGTCAGGACTAAAACTGCACATCAACCAGGGCAAATCCGATACACCTCGCTTTTCCTCGCTCCGCAAGAGCCACGAAGCCAAATCTTCAGACCCTGATACGGCTGCCGCAGATCGCGCGACCGGGCGCCGGTCGCATGCTTCCAGGATTCCAGGAATCGGGAACTTGCATAAATGGTTGTCGCAAGCATTCGAAAGGGCCTTGAGGAACTGAGTCTGCGAGCTTCAGCGGCATTCGTTGCGGCTGCGGAGCCTTACCGGCCGTGCAGGCCTCGACCGGGATCGTGACCGTGTGGTGGGGAAGGAATCTCTGTTGTCGATTTCCGCCAGCTTTCGTAAGGCCTCCGAAGCCCTTAAAATCGCTTCAGAGATGGCCTTCTTCTGAGATCCGGCGCCTTCCTTCACCGGCACCGCCAGCTTTTCCGGCTTCACCTTGGCCTGCAGACTAAGGAGGCTAAGGGTTTCGACTCTCACTTTCGCGCAAGCAAGGCAAGGTTCCACTCAATCCCGTCACTCAAGCAGGCAGCTCAGTTCAACTCAGCAAGCCTACAAAGGCAGCAGCTACAATGAAGAAGTCATAACAGTCCAAAAGGTAGAAAGACTGTAGAACTGTCCTCCGGAGGCATTGCTCCTCTCGCTTGATTGTAGGCTAGACAACCGTGTCTGGTTTCGACAAGGCTGCTACTGTTTCAAAAGTTTCGCCACGAGAAGTCATACGGGCTAACGGCATGCAGGTTCTGTTATCAACCTACTGATTTCCTCACTCCGGAATTCTATCAGTCTTGGCAGCATGCAAAGTCATGTGTAGGCTCGCTCAAGCAGTCGTTCAAAATCCATGATAACCTCACCCCTCACGGCAATAATCGACAAGTAATCATGCCATCAATCTCGATTCTGTTCCATGCAGTGTCCAAATCACATTCCATGCCAGGCGTGGTCCAGAGTTCTCATGAATTTCTGCGCAGTGTAGGACTCCCGTGTTAATCATGCATTCATCATGATCATGCAGCACTGAATACTTCTAGGGGTTTAGGGCCTTTACACTTCCATGAGCACTGGCTGCAAAAGACAGAAAGCACAACGCCAGGCGTGTTCTTACACGAGCCCTTCTTTCTGGCCTTCGGCAGTAGAACGACGCGAGGACCCCTTGCCTGTTCTCTACCTGAAGAAACAGGGCATTGAATCTTGCTTTTACTTCTTCAAACCACCAGTGCCCCTATTGCCTACATACTTATCTTGGCCGAATCAGACATGAGATGAAGTGGTCTCTGAAGCCCAAGTCTTGACACTCTACAAAGCTAGACGGCCCGTGAACATCTTGTTGGCCTCCAGGCCTAGCAGCCACCAAAACGCCTTAAAGTAAGTCTATATGATTAAGGGCCCCTCTCAACCCATACGTATGCCATACAGCTGATTGTCCGAAACCCCCACAAGCTAGGAACCCCCGACTGACAAACTCTGCCACGGCGACCGTTGGAAGGCTGCCGCTTGGATCGCTTAGGCGACGGCTGCCGGGCTGGTCCGGATTCGCCTGCAAACCAACTCGGTTGGAACTTAGGTCGGCGGAATAGCAGTGGGGCTTGCAGTTGATGGGTGTTGTGGAATCTACGATACAACCATACTTAGTGACTTAGTGGCCAGGCATAAAACGAAATGTCGGTGCCTGCAGATCTTGAGCCCTGCAAACCCAAGCCTTGCAACCTTAACCTCGCTTGTCCGAACCCCTCACCCACTTCACCCCTCCGTGAGCCGCTAGCCAATCCTGAAAGTCCGTCCTGACCCTTCACACTACAGGTCAAAGATTAACCCTGACACTCTCACACCGTCTACGCCAGAGGCAACTCAAAAGCTGGAACGGCCCAAGATTTCGAAGATGCCATCTCACCCCTTACTTCTGTTGACGCTCACACTCGGACGATACCAGGCAAGGTCTGCAGAGATACTGTTTTCGTCAGAATTAGGTATGTGAACCTCGTGCTCTGATTGCTGAACAGAAGCATCGAAACCGCACACAGCAGCTAAACAGTTGCATGCATGCATACATACATACATACATACATACATACATACATACATAAATACATAAATACGTACGTACATACATACGTAAATATAAGCATACATACATGCATACATACATACATACATACATACATACACACATACATACATACACACATGGGGGTTTCCGAAAATAGGGGACCCCAATATAGTGCCCTAAATAGTAGGGTCCTTATTACAAGGACCCCAAAATAAGGTACCCTAATTTTCGGAAGCTCCCACATAGACACATAGATGCAACGTTAGACACATACATATACATAAACACATACATACACATGTACATATACACACATGTACATACATACATGCCTACATACATACATACATACATACATACATACATACATACATACATACATACATACACATGTACATACACACACATATACATACATACATACATACATACATACATACATACATACATCCGTACACACATACATACATACATACATACATACATACATACACTTGCATTACACTACATTACATAACAGACATCTTGCAAACATAACTTATTTACTTACTTGTTTCTTTGCCTTGGTGCCTGCTTGCATACATACATGCATACATACATACATACATAGATACATACATACATGCATACATACATACATACATGCATACATACATACATACATACATACATACATGCGTACGTACAGACATACATACATTCTTTCTTTCATGGTTACATATGCACATGTGCTTATGTATCTATTAGATAGATAGATATATAGATAGATAGATAGATAGATAGATAGACAGATAGATAGATAGATAGATAGATGATCCTGTATTTCTGCCTTCTACATGTGTACATGTACAAACTCTAATACTGCTACTACTACTGCTGATGCTACTACTACTACTACTACTACTACTACTAGGTTGGTGCCCCTTCCTGGACCCA